GGTGAATAATACTAAGAAAACCTAATGTAGCTGTTCCAAAAAAATTTTTAATAAAAAACTAAAAAAGAAAGAGTAAAATCAATCCTGAGTGAAACAAAGTGGAGAATAAAAAACCTCTAGGGCTTGAATCGAAGCTTCTTTCACAGCTAACTCAACTTCCAGACCTTTGAGTTCTTGCTCGGTGGTTTCTTTGAAACGCTTAGCATCTTCGAGCTCCAAATTGGCTGCCTCAAGCTCCGATTGAAGGTCTTCTATTCGCTTCTTCAAACTAATCACTCGTTTCTCTGTACGTGTTTTCAATTTCAAATTGCAATAAGACGCAAACTCTTGATTTGTTTGTCGACAAAATGTAGGAAAAACAAAATTCACAGCAAAGTAATCGATCGTCTGGTCATTTTTCAAAATAATAAATCAAGAAATCATCACCTTCTTATGTTATCCTGCATTTCGTCTCGAATTTTCAGTTTCCAATTGCATAAATCCAAACTTTCCGCTTAGTTTCCGAGAAAATGGAGTGAAAGAAAGGGAAAAGGAAACGAAATATTGTAGATCGCTTCTCATTTTTAGCCGAACAAAATAGAGAAACCTTCACTCCGACTAACCTGATCCAAAAGTACGTCTGCACTCTCATTTTTCTAAATTTCTCGGCTCGTAACATAATATCAAACACGCCATGTAGTTGCAGAAAAGACGTGAAAAGAAAGAACAGTAAGTCAAAGTACAAATTCCTCGCGCATTTTCTCTTGAACTTTACTGATACAAACGTACGATGTTCATTTTCTCCTCATTTTTACGTTTTCTCGAGAAACAAACAGAGTAGCTAGAAACACAGGTTATGGAGAGTACCTCCATGAGACTTCTCAGAAGCGAAACCGCGAATCAGTGTCAGTAGCTGCTTCTGCGCCTCGTTTCCCGCCATGAGCTTTCTGTTTGGCGCTCTCTCTCTTTCTTTCTTTTTCTGCTAGCAGAGCTTGCAAAGCTGCAAATGGAACTGTTTATATAGCACCAGATTTTAAATTAAAAAATAATAATAATAAATAAATAATGGAGCGGCTCATTCGACCTCGTGCCTCATGGATCCGAGATTGGCCTCTTTTTCCATGGGTTCGGGGTTTAAGGCCTAACATAAAAGGGTTTTGCTTATTGTTAGGGCTGAGCCCAGTAGAAAGTCCAATGAATAAACTAACTCGGTCATACCCCAATCCATTATGCTCAAAGATTTTTTTTTATTTTTTTATTTACAGTGTTTCTAGACTAATTTTTACATATTTTAAAATTAATTCATTCTTTGATAATTAAGGATGCATCCTTACATCAATTTAGTGCATTTAAAAATTGTTTTTTATGCAATAACCTAAAATTTTGATTTTTAAATATATTTTTAAGATAATAAAAGACTAAAAAAAAGAAAAGAAAAAGAAGCTACAACTATAGTACAACAAAACACTAACAAACAAAGCCTTTGAGCACCTGACCTTTTAATACCTAATGTTTTTTTTGTAGTGTACGATTGTTCCCACAAGGATGCAAAAAAAATATAATAACTATAGTCTTTGTTGTATCATATCCTTAATGTAGGACCCTTTTTTTCATTTCATTGTTAAGATTCTCATGGGCAACATAATTACAAAAGGGGGAAATGAAAAGATAGCAAGTAACTGTTTGTTTTAACTTTTTTCACCTGCTCTAGTGTCAAGTACATGTAGGGTCATTTTCTGATGATATGGTCTATGGCAAGCATGCTTTCGGACCTTCACATTTCATCCATTCTATTGTTACTTTCATTAACTGGCAAAGGTCTGGTCCGTAACATTTCTCTTTTTCAGTCTGCTTTTTGGCTTATGTTTACAGGCATGCGCAGGGTCTTTCAACTCTTTTTCGGTAGGAAGGAGACTATGAGATTGATTCTCTCTTCCACTCTTCCCACTGTTTATTTTTTCTCTGTCACCCCATGATTGGAATAATTTGTCCTTCGGCATAGCATGAACCATCATGCTTGTCAACATTCCAGCCCAGGCCTCATAGACATGCTATCATATGACTAATTATTCCTCCTCCTTATTTTATGTTTATCCTACTAAGTTGGCCCCAACTTTCTGTTGAACCTATCTTCAACCTCTGCGGTAGACTGTAAAAATTAGGCTAAATGAGCACTTTTTTTTTTTTTTAGTTTCCCGCCTGGTATCCAGGGCTTCACCTCGACTACTCCGGACTCGACCAACTGTGGCGCACTAGAATGGTGGGTGGGTCTCCCAACGAAAGCTGCTGCGTACACAAGGTCTCGAACTCAAGACCTTACTTAAGCTGAAACAAGCCGCTTGTCACTTGATCCAACCTCTCGTTGGTCTAAATGAGCACTTAAATCACATTATTAAACTTCTAAGAAATGAGTAAATGATGTATTGGTCCGGCGAGAAATTTCCAGATTATGCACCCATATATCCATAAAAGATATGAATATTAGATCATATCTTATTTTATAACCCACAAAAGGAATTCTTAAACTCATAATCTAACCCGTAACCACAGAATCTTTCTGCACGGATTTGAGGGGTGCACTTGCTTCCATTGGTGTGCACGCCAAGCTCAAACAACACACGAACTTACATGAGTGAAGCCTAGGTTGGAGCAATCATATGCCACACTTTTCTACTGCATGTTCAAGTATATATGTCTTCTTGTCTCCCACAGCTGCTGCACTCTCATCTGATCCTTTCTTTTCCCCTCTTTGATCATTACAACTACTGCAGGTGGCAATTTAGCAAATAAACCAAATTCAGCGTGACTTTCATTCTCCATTTTGTATATAAACTTATTTCGTCCCCCCTCAATCCTCATATAGGTACTTCGAAAAGCCAAAGTTTTAGGGAAAGATGGAGAAGAAAGAAGGAAATGTGCACACAGCTCTGTTCACAGCAGGTACAGTTCTGCTAATGGTGGGTTTAAAACGCATTCAAATGCTGTTGTTGCTGGTTGAGCAATGGCGTTCATGGGTCTTCCTTGTCTTAAACCTTTTGCTTTTAGCCATTTTCTTCACATCCATTAACTCATCTTCAAGCAAAAATCGAGAGAGCAAGATTAACAATGATGAAGAAATGAAGATTGAGAGGAAGAAGAAAAGGATGCCATCTCAGGGGGTTTATGAAGATGAGACGTGCTATGATGATTTCAAGCTAACTGAGAAGATAAGCCAAGGAAAAGGGCAGAATGAAGCAAAAGCAGAGAACGTTGAAGCAGATAATGTTGAAGGCGAGGAGTTGGGGAAGATGTCGAAGGAGGAGTTGAATGAAAGAGTGGAAGCTTTCATTGCCATGTTTCGGCAACATTTGGTTTTGGATTCAAGAAACGGCAGAACAACAAAGCAGGCTGATGTTCCAAAATTTCCAAATAAGACTAGGGTGATTCTTCCAACCCAACGAGGGAAGTGTTTTGTTTTTCAAAGTTAGGGACATAATTTATGACATTTTAGGATCAGATTTAGGGCTTGAATTGTTACTTGATCTATATGTTGGCTAGTGAATGTGCAATTTGATTTATTTATTTATTTTTTGTTTCATGTCTAGCTCGTATTATGGAATTTCATAGAATTTTAAATTTTAATACATTTATTCAAAAATTACAAATCAAACCCCGTAAAAAAATTTTAAGTTAAAAATTACACGTCGAAACCTTAAACTATTTAAATATTCTTTTGATGAAAAAATAAATAAATAAATAAATAAACCCCTTAAACTTTGATCACTGTTTGTTGGACACCAATCCTTAGTAAATGTAGGTAATGAGATTGATGAAATTAGGTAAAGAAAATTCAAAAGATTTGATTAAGATGGGGGAGATATTTCAAAATCTTGAGATGCACACATTTGAATAAAGAGGGTTAACTTTGAAGATAACAGTCACATATTAACTTTTTCCACGGTAAAAAGCACTAAAATTTCAAGGCAAGGATTTTATCTGAACCAAAAGTTGTATTATCTTCAAATTTGAATAAAAGGGGAAAAAGTATGGTAGATATCAAGAATTACGGAAGAGAGAAGAAAGGAAGGTTATCTATTGAGTACAGGGTACTTAACTGATGGACCCCTCAGGAGCGAAAGGCAGGTAAAGCCTCATGCCTCTCATCAAGGCTTGAGGTTGATTGATACCTACAAAGATCACAAATTTAATCCTCCATTGTTAGAATGTCACAATCTTTTGAAAGCCATATAACAGTTATTTCTCCTACCGTCAGTAGTACCAATGCTGTTATCATTATCATTATTTATTACTGCTACTTTTATTATGCCCCGTTACCCTCATCTACTTCATAAATTTGTCAGTCTCATTAATTTATACCTTGCTCCTATCAAAAAAGATAAATGCAATCACTACTATCAACCTTGGTATGGTGCATTGATTTTTCCTGTTTTCGGTGGCACATGACAACACAAGCATGAGGTTAGCTCCTAAAAATCTAAATCAAGAAAGCATGCCACATTAAACTTTAGTAAAACATAAGCTTGAATATTCAACTTACCATCATTCATTCAATCTGGTTGTTTTTCCCCGTGACAAAATTCCCTAGTCCCTGCACAGAAAAGAATCAAAACAGTAAGATATTAAGTAGGGTTTATATATGTTCAACGAGAAACACAAGATATAGAACTGGTTCAGAAAGAGTTACAAAATCCTCATATTTTGAGATGGAGGAAAACCCAGAAAACTCCTCAGTGAAGAGTCGGAAACATGTTTTACTGAGGTGTTAAAAAACATTTCATGGGATGAGTATTTGTGTTCTTGAAGATTTGTGAACCAACCATACAAGTGGGCACCAGTGTGTAATTAGTGATATGTACCACATGACCTCCACCCAGGCTTTTGGACTGATTATGAAGGTCAGGGTCAGTCAGCCTAGTTTGGAGTCTTGGGACAGCAACTTCTCTTGAATACATTATTGGAGCAAGGTATATATGGTAAAATTGGTAGTGATAACGCCCAACAGTTTTAATGGCTCAGCCATATCAGTTATCAAATAATGGGGCTGCAGGAAAATATTTGATAATAAGATGGCTCCATAATCCAGATCATAGAAAAATCCAACTTTCATAAATGCAGAAAATGAATGGAATGTCAAATGATTCTAAACTAATTAGTAACAAGGATTAAAACATACTAATTGACACCACAATTTAAAAATAAAAATATTGTATCTGTTGAAAAGGACTCATTACAAAAACCATAATTTTGGTTTAATAAAGAAAACCCTTAAAAGGTTAAAAATAAATAAGTAAAAAAATTAAAAAAACCCAACACTCAACAGAAGAAATCGTACTTACCACAAAAAATTTGTCATATAACAGGTGTTGCCATCCCTAAAAAAGCTAAGGCTTTTTCTTATTTTTCTTTTTAAGTATTCTACAAACAAAACAGAAACCAAGGTTGTTGAAAGTTGCAACCAGTGCTAATAATTTACTTGACTCACAAATAATAAACTCGTTATACAAAAATCTGCAAGACATAGGTGACCAGCACCAGCACCACCACCTACCAGCTCAAATAGTAATGAAGAAAATGATAGGAGCATGTGAGGCCGATACCTTTCTCACTTCTAGTTAAGATTCAAAGATTAAACTAGACGGCAATGGAAAAAAAGGAGAGGCCTCTCCTAAATTCAAAGACCGACTTGGAATTTAGTATCTCTCTCTCTCCTTTCTTGGGATCATCCCTCCAACTATTATTTCCTAAGGTTTTCCAATTTATCTTTTTGTTTTATTGCCAAAATACCACCTCTTCTCTTTGGCAGCTAGCGGATATCACAATGAACTCTGAAGGAAAGAACTACAAACTAGAACTGAGAGGCATGAAACAAAGCATCATGCCATTGCACTGAGTATATCTTTGCCCATCTTATTTTTCTTGTAATTATGGCATGGACTGTATTATAGGTGGGAGCTATGGATAACAAGAAGGCGAAGACAGGTTCTAAGTTTCAAAAGTGGTTCAAATTCAGGAAGCAAAAGAGAAAAGAACCTTGCCATCTAAATGAATCTTCAGGTCATCTTCATCACCTTCTCTTATTTTCACTATTTTATGTGTCTTAGAATCAGTTTCATGTTTCTACTCCTGGGTTTCCCAGTACATGGAAGAGAAGATAAAAGTGATAATTATGCAGGTGACATTTACGTTCCATCATTACAGATGGATCCATGCACTTCAACCCAAGAGCTAAAGTGAGGATTTCAGTCCTTTGTGTTAAGGAAATATGTTAACTATTTGGTCACTCTTTGATAGCAGACATGGATTTATTTCAGAATTTTTGTGGGTACTTGGAATGTTGCTGGAAGATCTCCAGTAGGGAGTCTGGCTGTAGACCTGGATGAATGGCTAAATCTCAAGGAGGCTGCCGACATGTATGTTCTCGGGTATGTGAAAGTCTATGAAGATATTTCAACCTCCAATTTCTCTATGAGAAAATGAATCTCTTGTTTCTATTGATAGCAAAAGCTTTTTGGACTTGCAGATTTCAAGAGATAGTACCCTTGAAAATTAGAAATGTTATAGGAGCGGAAAACCCAACAGAAGCAACAAACTGGAACCAACTTATTGGAAAAACGCTCAACAACAGGTTTGGATGCCCTTGGCTGACACCTATGCTGAATCCAATCTCAAGTGACAACTACCAAAGTGTTGCCATTCCAGACAGTAAAAGACGAACAAGTTTTAGTGGCAGTTTTTGGACTCCGAGAGAAAGGTCAAGAAAACAAATTCAGCTGTCACAAAGCACAGGCATCAAGTACAAACTAATGGCAAGCAAGAAGATGGTTGGAGTGTTTATAAGTGTGTGGATGAAGACAGAGTTGCTCAGGAAGTACAGTGTTGCAAATGTGAAAAATTGTTCAGTGGCTTGTGGCATCATGGGCTACCTGGGAAACAAAGGCTCCGTTTCAGTGAGCATGACCATTGAAGGAACCAGTTTTTGCTTTATTGCTGCACATTTGGCTTCTGGTGAGAAGAAAGGCGATGAAGGACAGAGGAATCACCAGGTCTCAGAGATTTTCAGGCGAACGGTGTTCCCCGGATCCTCCAAAGATGATGACAATCGTAATCCTCTCACCATCCTAGGACACGAGTAAGTGGTCTTTTCTTCACAGAAAGAAGACATTTTAAACGTGAAGTCTAAAAGAAATCGATCCCTAGCATATGCCTTTTCTCATCTAATTTTAGAGGGTCCAGACTCCAGGTTCTAGGTTGAAATGAAGTTTCAATTTTTCAACGAGATATGGGATACCCACTGGAGATGATGATGACACCTGTATTAGCTTCTAACTTTCTCACCTAAAAATATTTGACCACATAGAAGAACAAAGTCTAGCAATTAGCAATCTAAATTATTCTAGCATTCAATTTCTATCACAAATTCAAACAAGTATGAAAGCCAAAGGGTTCAAGCTATCAATATTATAATCTGACAAACGATAATAAAATAGTGAACCAGTCTAAGATACAAACAAGGTTTTAAATCTCTATGAGATAGCAATAAATTGTCCTATTTTACATTTTAACTACTAAGTAGTTTTATCTGTTATATGCTAAGCAAGATTGGGACCATCAAAACACCTCAATTTGAACTCTAAACTCACATTTCAATATTTCTTAACAATTCAAAGCTTCTACAATCTAATGACCATCAAACAAATTTTACCTGCTCCAGATGGCATACGATATCTATATATCACTTGTCTGATCTGTATATAAACAATAAAAGAAAGTTGGGTGTGAATAACAACAGAAACTATTTATTAAATGCATACATAATCCAACTTCAACAAAATAAAGTTTCAATTTTTATGGAGCAGTCAGATATTTTGGTTCGGGGATCTCAACTATAGGTTATACTTGGAAGATAATTTAGCTAGGGATCTAATAAAGAAGCAAGACTGGAAAGCACTGCAGCAGTTCGATCAGCTTCGCAGGGAACAAGAGGATGGTGGAGTATTCCAAGGATGGAAAGAGGGAAACATAAAATTTGCACCAACATATAAATATTCTTCATCAAATTGCAATCGCTACTCTGGTGGCCTTCCTAGCAGAGCAGGAGAGAAACAAAGGACTCCAGCTTGGTATTATTCAGTCAGCAATATTTATAGAATAAGATTCTCCTATTGCTACAAGGGAGTGGTCACCCACTTAGAATTTACGATAAGCTAATGGGAATTTTGGTTGCAGGTGTGATAGAATTCTATGGTATGGTAAAGGGGTGAAACAGTTGTCCTATCTTCGCAGTGAAAGTAAGTTCTCTGATCATCGGCCAGTGTCTGCCCTATTCTCTACACAGATAGAAGTCATCAAGTCCACCAATCCAAGATTTGCTAATATGGAGACATTTTTTCCCAACATAATGACCCCTGAGAGTACCGTAAGTTCTCTCAATCTTACCATGTCAATTTCTTCCCAACATAAAGATCATCGGGCCATCATACTACCTACATATTAATATTGGAAACAACTTAACCTAAGTTCAAGCCCAATCAGATTGATTATTGTAGTCATGACTAAGATTTGAATTTTTTTTTTTTTTTCCATTACAGGGGACAAGCAAAAACGATAAGGAGGCCAAATCTACATTGCAATCTTTGATTTTAAAGGATTTAGAAGAATCACCAAACACAGGCGAATACTGTAAAACCAGATGACGAGAGATGTAGCTGGGCTTTAGCGACTCAGTTTGGTTGAGGGTGGGTTTGGCAGGCATTACTGTCTCTTAATATTTCTTTCTTTGGAGGAGGCTCTATGACTTAAATAAGTGGTTGATCCCAGACAAAAATAGATTTGATAATCGATTCACTAGGAACCACTATACATGTCTCTGTTTCAATGTAGGATTTGTAAAAGAATAAAGGTCATACGGGCTTAAACATTGGTATTCTTTTTTAATATTGTTGAAGAGTAGCTGAAATGATCTCTATGGACTTTTAGAATACAAAATAGTTCTACCAATCAGCATATTTATCTCATGTTTTCAGTGAATAGGCCTTTGACTGTCCATGCAAGATCAGAGGACCTTATCTTGACTTCAGAGAGCTAATTGTGGACATAAAATATTAAGAGAAGTGCAACAAATGTGTATTCTCCTCAAGTTATCATGCACAGTATGTAATTGACAACATCAACGTGGCAGCTTTAATTAAAAGGGTAAAATACTTGCAGAATAAAATACTTACTGCAGCTCAATTTGCCTCATTTCCCTTAAGAATTCCACCCAATTCTCTTAAATTGTCTAAATGACAATTGGGACATATGCACTTCTTCTTCAACTCCTCGCTGAGGAAAGTACATGACTTTTCCATTTCAGAAGTCTGCTTGTTTCCAGTCAAAGAGAGTTTGTGTTTTATACTAGAGCTCATGATCATAAAAATCCAATTCTATATTTACTCCTTAACCTGGTATAAAATATAAGTGAAATAAAAATAGTATAAGCATTAATAATATTCTTCCTTTTAATTAAGGACTGCCTTCCAATGCTTTTTATCAGCATCAATGGTGGAGCAATTTCTTCAAATACAGGAAGAGTCATTAACCAAAAGGAAAGATGCCTTATATAGATTCCCATATATGTTAAAATCACAGATGGGTGTCCTGTTTATTTTGGTAGAGATGTTACAGAAATGCTGACAGATAAGTTTCTATGAATTATTACTTTATTAGCAACACATGGGCAGGGAATTTCTAATAAGCCTGGAATTTATCCTTGACTAACAATTAAACTAGAATTTTGGAAAGAAGGATATCTTGTTAAGTCCTCCAATGCTTTTGTTTCTTGCATTATGGCCTCCATCAAAGACACCTTCCTTTCAACATTGACCAAATCTAGCTGAACCTGCACATTCCTCTAACCATTCAACCATCCTCATTAATTTGTGGAGAATACACTTGATGAATATTTGGAAACAAAGGAGGGGAAAGAAGTAAAGAATAAAGACCTAAGTACCTAAATTAATAGAAATTAGAAACACCAAAACCTTTTAAAACATGAAATTATATTAACATTTCTACCATATAGAAGACTAATTACCTTCTTTTGGATATTCTGTTCTGAGAGGTATTCTTCCTCCTCCTTTGCTATTTGAGAAACAATGTGAGAAAGAGTCTCCTCAAGAGCTTTTGAAACATCATCAACATTACGGTCTACTTCTGAAACAAAGGCAGTTGCTCTTTCAGTTTAAATATAAGTTCTGTTTTACGAAATGCTGGGCAAATGAGAAGATCAAATTTTTTCTACCATAAAGAACATCATTGTAAAATGGTACGGAGTTGAGATCAAAGAAGAAGATGGAAAAATAAAACAGGTACAACTTTTGTTAAGATGTTTGAAGAAAAAGTACTGAGAAACATTTAAAGACCATCACCTGCTTCAATGCTAACAGTTTCCTCTTCCTGAAAATAACAAGCCATTGCCTCTTGGAGTTTCCTGTTTTGATAAACAAGTTCTAAATTTTGAATTGGAGACAGAAGACAATAGAATCTGCTTATCATAAACAAACTCTATATTTTGGAAAAAGTATTCTTGCCACAATGATATACAATTCCAGAGAGGAAAGGCATTAGATATTCTTAATCTATATCAGTTAAAGAATAATTCCACCATTTACTCATCAAAGAGCTACATCTATGCCACCAGACTATATATCCCGTGGATCATGCAAGTGGAATTTACCGGAATTCAAGTAATTAAAACCAACCTTATCTTAGCATTGAACCCAAACATTAGGCCAATGAACTTATCCCTGCATAAACATTGAACACATTACACAAACAATTATAACTCTTCTTTATATTTGAAGCACGGTAAGGTATATATATTGCTTTGATGCTAGGCAAAATAATATGAGCAATGCAGATAGAGTTCCTACCTGATTGCTGCTTCTTCTTCCTTCACATCATCCAAACAAATTTCCCACACAAGTTAGGTTCAATAAGAGAAACCATCAATCACAATTAACCAGTGTGAGTTTGATCAATACCTTAAGCGCCTCTACTTCAGATCCAACAGTTGATATCTCATCTTGAATCAAGGAAA